GTTAAGAAAACAGAATAACAAGTAATAAAATAATACGATAAATAGAGTGCAACAACCTGAGTACCAGTATGGAGTATGGATATAGAATGTAGGTATAACTACTTTAGCAGCAAAAGGCCTTGATGACCAGCAGTGATAAAGTGATGGTGTCAGTAAGTGTCAGTAGTGGTTAAGGTGCTGCAATATCAGTTTTTCTCCATTTATGCATTGAGAAGTCTCACAGCTTCTGGAATTAAGCTGCTTCTCAGTCTGGTAGTTTTGCAGTTTTGCATTTTATGCTCGTCAGCTTCTTGCCTGAGGAGGCAGAATCTTGGGATTCTGAGTTTGTGGTCTATTGTTGTTGTAGTCGAACTGTGTCATGGTCCTGGGTTGTTAGACCCAGTGTTTTGTGTTTATTATTGGTGGCATCTTATGTTTCGGGTTAATTCTTGTTTTCTTAGTTCTTCGGGTTTTGGTTCTGTTGTTTAGTGTTTTATTGTTCCTACCTGTGTTCTTCTCCCCTGTGCTCTGTTCATGTCCCGGAGTTTGTGGTGCAAAACAGTTTGTGAGTTTCCTGTTTTACTTTGAAGGTCTGTGTCTCGTTATGCCATTAGTTTCAGCTGTCTCCACCCCTGCGTGTCATTTCCTCATTACCTGGTGTGTATTTATAGTGTGTGTTTGCCTCTGTTTGTCCTTGCACTGTCTGTGTAACTTGGTGAATATCTGTGGCTCTCTGCCCTTCATTCTCCACTCCTCATCCCCTATGTCACCTCCTTATGTTTTTTCCTGCATGTTGTTCTGTGAGTTATGGTTTCGGGTTTTGTTTGTTACTAGTTAAATACAAAATGCTGTTTCTAAAAGAAGGTGTTTATTATTAAGGGGATGACATGACCCTGTGTGAAAAAGGGATTGCCCCTAAATCTAATTTCACTACCTGGGCCCATGTCCTGTATGTTTTAGGTTTGACAGTGTTTTTAGTAGATAAAGGGGTGAATGGCTTAAACATGAATTGATCTCTGGTTTGGGGAAGGCCTCGGAGGGGACTGATAGCAGCTCCTACAGATAAGAACCGGAAGGGGTGTGTTTGTAGGCATGGTCCCGAACCTGAAATACAGATATTTTATCTCCAAAACTGGTTTGGCCACCCTTAGCAGCAACAACTCCAGTCAAGATTTGCAATAACTGGCAATGAATCTTTTACAGCGCTGTGGATGAATTCTGTCCCACTCGTCTTTGCAGAATTGGTGTAATTCAGCCATGTTGGAGGGTTGAGCATGAATCGCTCATCCCAGAGCATCTCAGTCAGATTCAGGTCAGGACTTTGACTAAGTCACTCCTGAGTCTTCATTTTGTTTTTCTTTAGCCATTCAGAGGTGGACTTGCAGGTGTGTTTTGGATCAGAACCCAAGTGTGCTTCAGCTTGTAGTCACAAACACATGGCTGGACATTCTCTTTCCATAGACAGTAGAATTTATGGTTTCATTACCACAGAAAGTGTACCAGGCAGTGAAACAGCCTCAGACCATCACATTATCACCACCATATTTTACTGTTGGTATGATGCTCCGTTTCTGAAATGCTGTGTTGCTTTTACACCAGATGTAACGGGACACGAACCTTTCAAAAAGTTTGACTTTTGTCTCATCAGTCCAAAGAGTGTTTTCCCAAAAGGCTTAGGGATCGTCAAGATCTTTTCTGGCAAAACTGAGACGAGCCTTTTTGTTCTTTTTACTCAGCAATGTTTTTCGTCTTGGAACTCGCCATGCAGGCTGTTGATGCCCAGTCTCTTTCTTATGGTGGAGTTATGAACACTGACCTTAACTGAGGCAAGTGAGGCTTGCAGTCCTTTGGATGTTGTTCTGTGGTCTTTTGTGACCTCTTGAATGAGTCATCGCTACTCTCTTGGGTTAAATTTGATCGGCCGGCAATTCCAGGGAAAGTTCGCCACTTTTGCCATGACTCTCCTCTGTGGTTTTCTGGAGTCTTACAGCTTAGAACATAGCATTACAATCTTTTAAACACACACATAGAGAAAGAGATAGTATAAACAGAGCAAGTTGCTGTAGAACAAAACAAATTTAAAAGTCAAAACTGTAGAATTAAAGGGTGGATGGACAAGCAGAAGAAGAAGGCCTTAGTGTCCTGCACAGCCAATACTGGCTAACTCTGGAGGCTGAGGCTGGGGCCTGACCGCCCTCAGCCTTGAAACTGGAATGGATGTAGTGTGCTTAGTCTCTGCTCATGTTCAATCTCTAGTGGATAGGGAATCACTCTCTGGCTTGGGCCCAGTGTTGGCTTATCCAGGCAGCCCTTGTCCTAGCCATAGGAATCGGGTGCGGTCCTGATGTTGACTGATCCAGGTGGAAAGACTGATGATGTGCTGGGTGGTGACTGCTGCTGTTGCAGTGTCAAGGCATTTGTGCCGAGCTGCTGCAGCGACAAGGCTTGGGTGTAGGACTGCCAGTGCTGCAACAATGACGATGGGCATCGACAAGGCTCACACTTCCACTTTAAGGACAGCACAGTCTCAGGCAGGTAGCTAGCAATCGCTGTGACAAGTGGGTGGCTTGCTGCCTGTGTGCTAAACCCACCAACTCTAATTATAGGTGAGGAGTGGTGATGTGCACCAGGCAGTTGGGAGACATGGCATACCCCACCACCACACTTTCCATTGGGGGACTTATGGTCAGGCGAGTCCCTCCGCAGAAACACTCATGCTATGTGATGAACTATTTGCCGCTCGTAAAATTCCTTGTCTGCTCGGTCCTTTATCTGGTTGTGTTATTCTGTTATGGCAGGGGTCCCCAATCCCAGTCCACGAGGGCCGGTGTCCCTGCAGGTCTTATGTGCACCCCTGATTATACACAGGCTGGAGATGAACCAGGGGAGGGAGAGGTGATGAGCTGTATGCCTCCTTGGTGTTGGCATACAATAAGTCCAATGTTTTATTGTCTCTGGTGTGGCAGGTGACGTACTGGGTGAAGGTGGGGAGAGTGGACGACAGGGAGATGTGATTTAAGCCTCCAGAGAGCAGGAAAAGGGCCTGAGGGTGCTGTGTTTGGAGTCTGCTGGTTACAGTGTGCAGGACCTCACAGGCTGCTGCAGCGTTAGCAGAAGGCGGGGCATGCACAGCTATCATAATGACGTGTGGAAACTCTCGCGGTAGATAGTACGATCTCATGCTAACCGCTAGCAGCTCAATGTCCTTACAGCTTAATAATAATAAATCATAATAATACATTTTATTTGGTCACCTTACAAAGAACAAAATTAATAAAAGGAGCAATAGTCATAAAATACATAAGATAAGTTAAAATGGCAAAACAGAGCTTGACAACAGATAAAATCAGCATTAAAGCGAATAAGCCAGTTTAAACAGATGTGTTTTGAGCTGTGACTTAAATATGGAAAGGGAGTCAATATTTCTTATGGCTGGAGGAAGAGAGTTCCAGAGCCGAGGAGCAGAGCGACTGAAAGCTCTGTTCCCCATAGCAACAAGGCGTGAGGATGGAATAGTAAGATGAATAGCAGATGATGATCTGAGAGGGCGGGAAACAGTGAGCAGGTCACACAAATATGAAGGAGCAGATTTATGGATACACAAGTAAGATTTTAAAATTTATCCTGGCTTCTACGGGCAACCAGTGAAGCTGCTGAAGAACTGGGGTAATATGAGCTCTTAACGGAGTGCAAGTTATGACTTGAGCTGCAGAATTTTGAAGAAGTTGGAGTTTATGAAGGGACCTTTTAGGGAGACCAAATAGGAGGTCAGCTTAGCGTCTCTTTGATAGATAAATGCCCAGCGTTACACCATCTATCGTTCACAAACACAGCCAGGCCCCCTCCTCTCTTCATACCACTCTCCGTTGTTCTGTCGGCCCGGATCAGATGGAATGTTTACGTGTGAGTCCGGAGTTAGCGTGGTTAGTCACGACTCTGTGAAGCACATCACGCTGCACTCCCTGTAGTTCCTCTGATGTCGGGTTAGAGCCGGCAGTTCATCCACTTTATTGGGGAGAGATCTCACTTTCCCCATAATACCCGATGGAATCACTGGCCGGTACCTCCTAACCTTACTGCGATGCTTGATCCCCGCCCGAGTGCCGCGTGTCTTCCTCTTCACCTCGCGGGGGATGTTGGCTCGCTCGGCGGTAGGCAGAACAGTGGAGACCCCGAGGGCTAACACCTCCACGCACTCTCCGGACACAGATGCCGTAAAAAATATGGTAAAAAACACAATTGTCCATAAAATTCGGAGGTCGAATGTGGAGTAGTACAGTCCACAATATAAAAACAAGAACACGAAACAACAAAGAAAGAGAAAAAAGGACTCGGTCAGGCCGGAGCTACTAATACTGGCTGCCAGCTCGGAGTGGCGCCAGAAATTATTTATTGTTGCTGTTTATTTCAGTTTTTTAATTTAAGGCAATAAAACTGTGATGCAAAAGAATTTACAATGTTGGTCATTAGTTACATTAGTTACCACATTAGAAAGTGCAATTTTCCCTTTAGTCATTTTGGCAGTCCCACCAAGAAAAGCAACATTTCATGCTCACAGCCTTTATTTTAAAGTGACTTTTTGAAGGAAATTTGATGTTGCTTTCTTAGCCCTGTTTAATTTAATGAATGTTATTATTATCTTTTAACTTTATAACACATTTTAAATTTGGCACAGTACCTTAACTCTCTTTGTATTCAACCAGGTGAACATGTGGATCGACAACTCTGCCAGGATGCCATCCTTCCTATGCCATTTATCTGCGAGGTGCCTTGCCCTAAGGACTGTGCCTTGAGCCCCTGGAGCTCCTGGTCTCTCTGCTCCCATACCTGCTCTGGAAAGAACACAGAGGGCAAACAGACCAGAACTCGTTCCATCCTCGCCTATAATGCAGGAGAAGGTAGGAACTGTATAAGGAGAGCAAAGCAGCATTGCAGCACTCATGAAGTTACAGTATAGGTAAAGGTAATTCTATTAAAAATGAATATGTGCCTCTCACCTGAGCTCCTCTGTGTATGCTGGGTCTTTCAGCAATGACATCAGCATATTTAATCAATGCAAATGTTTAACTTAATAGTACAGAAGTCCAATTTACACCTTTAAGAATACAGGGGTAGGTTGAAATTGGATGCTTAATAATAAGTCTTATTTTTACAGCATGTTTTTCATTTTCCATTAAGGACAAGAGAAAGCAATGTGAAATTTAACATTTGAACATAATCGAACGACATTTGAAAACGTTTAACCAAATCAACTTTAAACATAATCTAAATGTCAATCTAAATATCGCATCAAGTGAAAATCTTGATGGAGGCTTTTATTTTCAACATCAAGGATTATTGATGTAAAGTTGTAAAGGGTTATTCAGCAAATTTATTCACAGATGCTTTTACCATTGTTTCTACAATAAGTTGTCTTATGGCACATATGCTTTGTGATCATAAATTTCTCAAGTATTCAGATCCATCATGTTTTGGGTTTATCAAGACTACGTATTCTGCCCACAACATCAGCAACAAGTCCAAGTTAAACTTGCAAACCACGTCTTTGTACAGACTGTATACACATAAAGTGCTCACTTACCTAGCATTATCATTTCCTTGATTTCACTAAAGAAATCAAGGACACATACACACTATGTGTATATACACATACAGTGATGAAATATTGCGCAAATGTAATAGACGTACACATCTTTTGAAAACTATAAACCAGATTATGGTGCAGTTTGTTTCGTTAAAGTGACTGTATTTTAAATTTGTGTCTTTGCATGTACTTCCGTTTGGATAACAATTTTTCATTGACCATTAATCATCCCAAATCTCAGCTGCATGTCACTGGATATGGATGACATATGCATGGGCCAGATGGTGACTGGTTGACAAGTGGGTCAGAATAGGGAACGAAGCAACTGTGGAGTTTACCAGGAACAGAAGAAGAGAGAAAAAATACAGCATGAAAACCACGGATCACTTTTCATTGTTTTAAACACTCAGTTTTGTTGGTTAGCCCACTACCTTCCATCATATTCTGGGCACCTTCTGCTGGCTTTGTCTTGGCCGGTGATTGTTTTCAGACCCCTCCAGAATGTCCTTGCATTATTCCCTTAAGCCACTCCTCCAATTTTCTCTTGTAGGTGTCACTTCCTTTCTCTTTGTCTAGCACATTCACTGTTTTTGGCAGCTTGGGGATGGCCTGCCTGCCTCCATAGAGCCGTATTGCCACAGTGAGGCAGTGTTCAAAATATTTGGTACAGTGAGTCTGTGGGCCACTCTTTCGTGTGCTGCTGTTGGCCCATCGCCAGCTGCAGATAAGAGCGTTATAACTTACAAAGACCTGAAGTGAAAAAGAGTGTTAAAAACAATGAAAGTATCAACTGTCACTTCCTTCACTTTCCTTATTGCTGCCCACCTGTCAACCAGTCAGCATCTTCCAAGATGAAAATCTGACCCGAGGTGGCATTCCAGTAGAAATTCCTTCCTTTTGCCAGTCTCCTTTGCTTTTTGAGTCCAGAACGAATTAATTCACCCACTTCTCTGAGAAGCACAACACAGCAAAATCTCCAGTGTTAATTTAACACTGGAGATTTTGCTGTGAAGATGCGAAATACGTCTTGTGCGGACTGGTTAATGTTGTTAGCTCTTCCATCTTATCGGACAGAGATCTTAGATTTCTCGTAATGACATATGATATGGAAGGTTTTCCCAAGACTTCACTCTAGCTCTGCAGCCTGTCTTTCTTCTCCTTACTTTCATGTGGAGCTCCAGAATATAAAACAGTAGTTACTGTGTCAATGGAGCCATTGCTGAATGGCTCCTTCCATAATCAGATTTGGGTAAGTGGAAATATAGCAAGTAAGCTACTGAAGCTTAAATGTTTTAATACATCAACTGCTGGAGATAAAAGGTTTTTAAGAATTCTCCTCAACCTCTGATGCTTGATATGGAAGGACCACATCAGTGCTGATCAGTTCAGCACTGGAGCACCAGATGTTAAAGTATGGTTCAGGATTCAGTTTAGGAATTTTGCAGCCTGCAGATGCAGCCTCTGCGAAGATTGAATCTGCAGTGTACCGTATTTCCTTTTTACAATGTGTTCCTCCACTACATGCTTCAATCTGATGGACTGAGATCACGTGTATTGCTGGAGCGATCTGAACTTCACCAAGTGATTTAAGTGGTACTTTCTGGGAGTCAACTCTAACACGGGATTTAGTGGGGTGGGTCTCAGTTAAATCAGGTAGTAACTCGGCTGTGGAAGGCAAAAGATTTGTGGATGACTCACTGATTTGGGCCATAATGTCCTTGAGAACATAATCCCTGCCAATTACCTTAGCTAGGTTTTTAAGTTTAGGGAGGTTGGAATGGGTACTACTATATCAACTGCCTGTCTATGCAGTTTAGAGGTTTGCTCATCTACTAATATGATCCTATTAGTGGAGCGAAACCTTTTTAAGAAAATCTGTAATTTCTCCCACTTTCTTATCATCTATAGCGATACCATTGATCATCACAGCATTAAATGGAGAGTTGTTGTTTTTTTTTTCAACAATATCCAACTTTTCTTGAGACTAATCTTCATCAGAGGGTGCAGTTTAGAACTGTAACAAATGTAACTCCCCCAGACCCTTTATTTGGTTACAAAACTTTGGACCTGTGTTTAGCTTTGTTTAGGTGATAAAGCGTGTGAGATTGCAGGGAAATAGCTTGAGGCTATGTGTTTTAAACACTCACTTTGTCTGACAATACAGGAGTACAATGAACAAAAGGTTGCAGTTACTATGTTAGCAGAAAATGAAATCCACAGAGAAGTCTGACATGAATAATAGACTGCGCCAACGATAAGTAGGGACGAATAAACAGACATCAGCCTTTGGCCATTTTGGATGATGAACACGCCCCAAGAGAGAGCAACTTTAATGACAGCCACCAAATATATACATGTGCATCACGTGTCAAACAAAACACATCCCATTGGCCGTTTCCATAATTTGAGAGCATTTGCTTTATTTCATGTCAACATACTATACGTTGAAATGAAACATTGCCATTATTAGTATACTTTTCATACTTTGGAATATAAATACATTTGCTTTACCAAACTTCTTATAAGGCAGTTAGTGCACACAACACTTCATACATAACCAAAAACAGTGACAATATTTTTTTTTCTCTTTAAAAAATAGCTTTGCAGGCACAAATATTATATTAGTACAAAAATACCCAATTAAATACAAATCAAGCATAGCTACAGCTTACACTTTAGATCCAAGTTTCCTGTGTAAATTAAGAAATATATTTCCCTCCACAAAAAGTAATAAAAATACACGTCTACAAGTTGCACCAGGCAAAAGCATACCTACTTTAGCATCACGCAGTTTAGAAAAAATTTTATTCACTCAGAGTTGGAAAGATTTGTCTTGACAGGCTAAGCTAGGTGTACCAAAAAAGCCCAGTCGGCAGGCAACGCAGGTGTTTGCAAAATGCAATCAGGCACCACATGACACCACAAACTATGTTTCTTTCCGTAACGCAATCATAAATCCTAACATCCAAATGAGAGAAAAAAGAAAAAGAAATGTCCACATTACAGTCTCCTTCACATACATTTGGGCTTTGCTTTTCCTTGTTTTTAAAATGAAGGAAGATTTGACAATAGGTCAGCTGTTAAAATTTTGATGTGCATTTTGGCATAGATTGCCCAAGGCAGTCATGGAAGTACATCATTTTGAGCAGTCCTGAGTCCTCTGTTAAGGCTGTTCCTGCTTTGGTGGGCTTGGAGGCTCCTTAATTTTTAAGCAACAAAAACAATTAATGATATTACAACATCAGGAAACTTTTAACCAGGAGGAACAAATTAAAGGGCAAGAACTAGAGCGTGAAAAGGCACAATTTTAAAACATTACTGCAATTTTTTCTTAAAAATTAAATTAAATTTTTTTTTATTTTTAAAACAACGTTTACAATGCTAGGGAAAAAGTTCAGAAACTTTGACAGACTTAGGGTGGTGCTACAGTAAGATGGAAGTGTAGAGGTGAGCTCATCATAATTGGTATTGGGAAAATACCATCTATTAATATAAATTGCACTGAATCAGTCTCAACTCGAGTATGAAGGGAGGAAAGTCACAAAGGTATGGAGCCCTGAGAGACCAAACGGACTGCTACTTAACAAAACACCAGCAATAAGAAAAATTCTGCAGAAGCACACAAAACATTATGAAAATACGAAAAACAAAAATAGAAAAAAAGAAGACAGAAATAGAAAAAAAACAGAAACAGGAAAAAAACAGATTTCCAAAAGCACAAGGGAAGTGTTTCTGGGGAGACAATAACCCGACGGACCAATTGCAGGACCTAAAACATGCTAGGCTAGGTAAGTGTGTTTTAATCTCATGATTCATATAATACTGATTTTTAGGCTAATAGTTGGGCTAACACACTAGTGATGTGTCGGTCGCGAACGAAACGGCTCTTAGAGCCGGTTCTTTGACGTGAACGACGCGAAACAGCTCCTTATCGCTAGCCGTGTTTTTTTTTTTTCCCCTTCTCTCACCCTCTCCCTCGCACTTTTTTTCTGCATGCGAGCCTTGTGCTTTGCGCTGGGAAGAAGGGGGAGGGGCGGTAGTTAGATTTGCACAGGAACAGAGCGGGGAGGGAGTATGGGCAGAAATCTGTGCCATCAGAAACTGAATTTGAATAAGTTAAATTTGAATTTGAATTGCTCAGATTGAATCTGAATTGTAACTTGAATAAATGCTTTTGGAAACTGAATTTGAATTAGTCTAATTTGAAATTGAATTTATGGTTTGAAAATGATCATCACTAAATTGAAATTGAATTTTATATTTTGAAAATGAATTGATTCAGAAGATTTTATCAAACAGCTGACATTGCCCTAG